CTGCTGCACCTGAAATTAAATTTTACAGTATTATTATTATTATTAACAACAAAACGAGTACTAAGAGATATTTTTCCTGTAACCTGGCGAAAACTTTATCGCCGTCGGCCATTTTTAAAATTCTATCTACTCCCGCTAATTTTTTTTTTTTTGTTTGTTTCATTCCCTTTCGAAAACAGAAATTTCCCACCTCCCTTTTTTTGGTTTTCCCTCTCACCCTCCCCCCCTCGTTCTCCTTTCATATATATTCAAAATTTTACATTCTTTTACGTAAGAATTTTTCAAACGGTTTAAATAAAAAATCAATTAATTTGATGTTACGGAATCGAAACGCGAGGGGGGGGCGCCGACGATAAAGAAAACAACCCCCCAAAAAACCCCTAACCTTTCCCACGTTTTTTATCCGTTAAACCTTTTTTTAAAATTTACTTACCCCTTTACGATAAAAAGAGAGAGAAAAAAAAGAAAAACAAAAAAAAAAAAAAAAAAAAACTAAATTATACATTTAACAACTCCTCACCTTATATTATAATTGGTCAACGTGCGGAAAATTCAAGAAAAAAAAAACTTGATAATAATAATAATAATAATAATAATAATAAAAACAAACAAACAAACAAAAAAATGGCAAGCATTAACGTGGAACTTACATTCGAATCTACTCGATTTGATTGTTCTCATCGAGTATTTCGGAGAAGCGGGGGGGGGGGGAATTTTTTTTTTTTTTAACCTGTATCCGTAGACCGTCCCAAAAAAAGGGGGAGGGGGGAAGCAAAAACAACAATCGGGAAAAGGAAAATTCGGATAAAGGGAAACAAACGAAAACTGAAAAATGTGACATCGAAAACAAAAGAAAAAAAAAAAAAAACCTATAACCACAAAGTTTTTCAAAGCCGGGAAAAATACAGAAAAGAAATTTACTTTTTAGGAATGAACAAACGATACAACAAACAAACAAACAAACAAACAAACAAAAATTAATAATAATCTTTTAAACTTACCCAGGCATGGAACGAAGAAGTGAACGTTACGTTTTCAACAAAGCCGTGAATGAATTTTTTTCATTTCATTTTTTATTTTTTCAATCAATCAATCAATCAATTTTAAAATTATTTTTTTTTTATTATTATTTTATTTTTTTTAGATGCAGACGATCCAAGATGTCATCATCAAGCAAAAACCAAGAAAAAAGAAAAAAAAAAAAAAAAAAAAAAAAAAAAAATTAAATAAATAACTTTTGTCACAAAAATAAAAAAAAAAAAAAAAAAACAAACACGAAAATATAAATAAATAAATAAATAAAAACGCAATCGCAATTAAAAAAGTGTTTTCATTTATTTAATAATATTTATATATTAATATTAATATAAAAAAAAAACCAAGAACGGTTAAAATAATAATAATAATAATAATTCAAATTGTGCGTGAGTGAACGAGTGTGTGCGTGTGGTCGTAAATGTGCGAGCGAATGTGCGTGAGTTTAGTGAAAATTATTAAAAGCCTCTATCGAAAATTAAGGATTCTCAACACATTTTTTTCTTTCTTTTATTCCCTCCTCCTCCTCCCCCCTCCTACTTTTGTCAAAAGGTGGAAAATGCGTGAGACACCCCCGAACTCGTTTAAAATTTAAGGGATTTAGAAAAAAAAAAAAAAAGTAAAAGCGAAATTTGCAACAGACAATGGGGAGAGGAAACGAACGGAAAATGGCAAATAAAAAAGTGGGGGAGAAAGAGGGAGAGGGAGAGAAAAAAGGGAAATGTTAAAAGCATCTTTAAATTTTTTTTTTCCTTTTTCCTGCCTTTCCTTGCTTTTCCTTTTAAATCTTAACGATAAAGAATAAAATGTATAAACGGAATTAAAAGGAAACGAGGAAAAATGGAAGAAAATACACCACTAACAACACATACTACACACAAATAACAAAACAAAACAAAAAAAATATTATTTGTCGGGGTTTTCCGAGGTCGCGAGAAAGAGATAGAGAGAGGGAAAACTATATCGGAAAAACAGAGTAAATGCTTTTACGAGAGGAATAAAACGAGGAAAAGTGCTAGAGGAATAGAAAGAGAGAGAGAGAGAGAGAGAAAAACAAGACATCAAAAGGGATAAAAGTAAGACGAAGAAAAAGGCATCATCATCATTACGTTGAACAAAGAGAGTGAGAGAGAGAGAGAGAGAAGGAAACAATGAAAAGCACGAAAATGAACCCCGATGACGATGAGATTTTTAAAAAGTTTACACACACAGAAACCTGCGCCATTTTTGTTTTTTTCGTTTTCCTTCTCTCTCTTTTTAATATCATTTATCTAACGAAAATGTTTTTCGTAAAAATTTATTTTTTTCCCCGCATTGTAAAAAATAAATAATAAAAAATAAAAAAAGAAAGAATTTTTTTTTGGGGGGGCGGAGGGAAGGTGAGGGGAGGAAGAGAAGGGATAATTCTCTGGATAAAAAAAAAAGACACAAACAACGCAACAAGAGAGAGAGAGAGAGAGAGAGA